CGCCCGGCCTCCGCCCCGCGCCGTCGCCTCAGACCTGCCGGGTTCGCGGGGCAGGGCGGGCGCGAGACCCGAAGACTCTCCCCCGGGCGTTCGGGGTCCCTCCGCGCGCGCGACGCCCGGTTCCGAGAACCTCTGCCGCCGGGTCAGGCCCACCGCCCACTCACCTCAGGCGGGTCAGAACCGAGAGGCCTGCTCCAAGCCGTTTGAAACCGCTTGGGCCGCCGCACACCCCGCAGTGTCCTCTTTAATGATTGGTCCTCGATGGACCGCCCATCGCGCGTTTATTGGTCCGTTTGAAAGGACTGTGGGCACGCGCCGCCCGCAGCCTTAAAGGGGCCGCGCAGAACTACGTTTCTTTGGGGACTTGGAGCTTTGGCCTTAACTGGGAAGCCGAGTGGCTGAAGAGAAAACCACAAATGACCCCCGAAAGAAGAGAAGAAGGCGTGTGTAGAGCTGCTTATTCCCACTCACCAGCATGTTTGTTTTAATTATAGATATTTAAGGTGCTGTCAACACCTGACTTTGAGTCTTGACAGTGGCCAAATACTCTTGTGCAGCTAAGTGCAATGACAGGGGCAGATGGGAGGTAGTGGAGGAGGAGCAACGATGGAGCCAGGGCCATAGATGCTACACTTGGTCTTGCTATGAGCAAATTTCTAACAGTAAATCGGAGTTCTTTCTTTCTTTCATTTTCTTTTTCTTTTTCTTTTTTTATCCTTTTTTTTTTTTTTTTTTTTTTTTTTTTTTTTTTTTTTTTTTTTTTTTTTTTTTTTTTTTTTTTTTTTTTTTTTCCGGTACTGGGGATTGAACTCAGGACCCTGCACTTGCCAGGCAAGGACTCATTCTACTGCGCTATCTCCCTGGGTCCTCTTATTTTGAAAGGCGGGGGGGGGGATATTTTCCTTACAAGCTTATTGTGAGAATTTGCTGTAACAAATTGAACAGAAGTCATTAGCAGCTGTCTCATGTCTGTAATCCCAACACTTGGGAAGCTGAGGCAGGAGGATCCTTGTGAGCTGGAGACCAGCTTGGGCTACAGAGTGAGCTCAAGGCTAGACTGAACTGCGTTTCTTTGGGGACTTGCCACTTTGGGCTCAACTGGGAAGCCGGGTAGCTGGAGAAAAAGCCACAAATGACCCCCGAAAGAAGACAGGGGTTTTGAAACCCTGCCTCAAAAAGACAAAAACAAAGCAAAACTCCTTTTACTAAAATGAATGAATGGTATCACAAAAAAAATAAATAAAATAAATGGGTTCATTAATATGATCTCCAAGATTCTTCTTTAGCCCTAAATTCAATGTTGCTATGAATCAGGTTAGGACTTTAATTCCAAGGGATTTTACAGTGATTGGAGGAGTAAACAATATAAACCAGTCACCGGTATTTTTTTTTTTTAATGGAACCGGGAATTGAACTCAGACCCTTGTACTTGCCAGGGAAGTGCTTATTCCACTGTGCCATCTCCCTGGACTCTTATTTATTTATTTAGTGACAGGGTTTCATACTGCAGTGTAGGCTGGCCTTAAGCTCACTATATATATCTTCTAATTCAGGGCATCCTCCTGCCTCAGCCTCCAATGTGCTGGGATTATAGGAATGGGCCACCACACCTGATTCAGTCACTAGTATTTAAGGCAATATGAGAACTATCTAAATGAAAACTAATAGATGTTTCTAAAATGGACACTTAATGGAGAGAATCTGTGGAGAGGGTAGACTTTTAGTGTGAGATTTTTTTAATTATTATTTTATTAGATACAAGTTCTCACTGTGTACTAGTTCAGAGTCCTAGTGATCCTCCTGCCTCAGCCTCCCCAGTGCTGGGATTAGAGGTGCGTGCCACCAGACTCTGGGCTGGCATGGCCGGCTGGCTCGGCCATGAGGTATCAGAGATCAAACTCATGTCCTTGTACACTTGCCAGCCAGGCACTTAGACCACTGAACTATCTCCCCGTCCTCATCTGAGATTTAAAAGGCATGCTGAATTACAACAGCCTAAAAGATGGAGAAAAGTAAATAAATAATTACTTTTTCTGTGTTTTGCTTCCATCTGTCAAACTGCAAAGATGAAAAGGTTCAACAGCCTTTGGTAAGAGTGGGAGAAATCTATGCTCAAACTCACTGTTGATAAGAGCTTAATTGACACCAACTTTTAGGAGGACAGTTTGGCTGTTGCTGATATGTAAAATGTACATGATCCTTAGCCAAGTAATGCCCCTGTTACACATCCTACAGATCTACACAAGTATGTAAAGAAAACGTACAATGATGTTTACTAAAACTCTGCTTAAGATAGGGGAAAAAAAAAAATCTGGAAGTCACGTGACCAGAAATAGGGAATTTTTGCATAAATTGTGAAATAGCCGCTCAGTAAAACACCAAGCAAATATTAAAAATGAATGTGATCTATATTGCAGAAGTAGAAAAATGCACAATTTTATCATTAATGAAAAGTCTAGGTTAAAATACAGGTTGAGTGATTTTGTTATATATAGTTGTAAATGTATGTGTGTGTACATGCCCAAAAATGGTTGGAATATTTGTGGAATTACAAAACACTTAATAGGACACTTAATAGGAGTGGACTTACCAGGGAAGAAATGATTTTTAAAAAATTTATTTGTGTGTGTGTGTGTGTGTGTGTGGCCAGCTCAGCCCACCAGGGGGCAAGGCTGCCTGGCATGTGGTGCTGGGGGATTGAACCGCGGTCCCTGTGCTTTGCTAAGCTTGCTCTAAGTAGGTGCTTTAGACCACTGAGCCATCTCACCAGCCCCTGATTTTTTTTTTTTTATTTTTTACTATTGCTATTCTGCTTCTTTTTTTCTTCTTTTTTTGGCGGAACCGGGGATTGAACTCAGATCCTTGCGTTTGTCAGTCAAGCGCTTATCCTACTGAGCCATCTCCCCGGCCCCTCTTCTTCTTTCATAAAGCCAGGAGACTGGCTAGCAGCAGGAAATGCAAGAGCAAGTACGCTGTATATGTAGAACTGGACATAGAGATTTGATTTAGGACAAGATTGATGTTAGAAAGTCATAGAACATGAGTAATGACAGTGAAATATAGGAGCAATTCTTGCAGTGTCTTAAATATCAAAGTAAGTAGTTTATACTCTTCATTAAGTTGGTACTGGGGAGCTGTTGATTTCTGAGCAAAAAAGTAGCAAAAACCTCAATTGTACTTTAGACCCTTACTTAGCTTGATCATTTAAAATAGGTTCAAGTTGGAAGCCCAGTTTCGAGTCTGATGAGATAATAGCATGCAAAAGATGAGAACACGTTAGGAAGGACGGAAAGATTTGGTAAGCAATTCCATGAGGTGAGAGGAGAGGGTGAGTACCATTTAGGGGGATGAGTCAGAGACAGGGCCAAGATTGGAGCCAGGGACTGGGAGGGCAGCATTGCCCAAGTGGAAGTAGAAAGTCAGGAGAAACCAGCCACAAGGGGAAGACGGGAAATCTGGCTTTTGACTTGTTTACTTGTATGTGCCAGAGAAGTATTTAAATGGAATCATCTCAGCGGGCCTGGAAAATGCAGGCTGGAAGCTGGGAGAATAGATTTTCAGGCTCAAGTGCTATTCATCCGGGACTAACTTCTCTAGAGTGGATGAGAGTGTACAGCTCCTGAAGATGGAATAGAAAAAGTGCGCAGTGGGGAGACAGAACAGATCTGCAGGTCAGTGAAAGACAGTAACCAATCAAAGCAAACAGTAGCAACCTTTGAAAAATGATTGGGGGTGGGGCTGATGAGATGGCTCAGTGGTCTAAAGCACCTACTTAGAACAAGCTTAGCAAAGCACAGGGACCGC